CTTAACTACTTCAGCATACTTTCAGCTAGAAAAACCATTCAGGTATCAAAATGTTCCGCTTTTTCAGGACATGCGCGGATCTATTCAGAATTTTCCTAAACTTCATACTTTTTAAACTATTCAGATTTATTTTGAAAATCTCGCCCCATTCAAATTAATGGTAAAATTCTACTTCACCATAATTTCAGCTATCAAAATGTTCAGCTCCTCAAGAACATTCATGCTTCTATTCAAAAAGTTATTAAACTTCATACTTTTAAAATATTTTGCTTTATTTTGAAAATTTTGCCCTATAAAAAAGAATGGGAAAACTACTACAGCATACTTTCAGATATTTCAGGTATCAAAATGTTCAGCTCTGCAAGGAAATTCATGCTTCTATTCAGAAATTTTCTAAACTTCATACTTTTAAAATATTTAGCTTTATTTTGAAAATCTTGCCCCCATTCAAATGAATGGGGAAATTTTTACTTCTGCATACTTTCAGCTATTTCAGCTATTAAAATGTTCAGCTTTTGAATGACATTCATGCTTCTGTTCAGAACTTTTGTAATCTTCATACTTTTGAATATTAAGCTTTATTTTGAAAGTTTTGCCCCATTCAAATGAATGGGATATTCTACTTCAGCATATTTTCAGCTATTTCAGCTATTAAAGTGTTCAGCTCTTCAAGGACATTCATGCTTCTAGTCAAAACTTTTCAAAACTTCATACTTTTAAAATATTTAGCTTTATTTTGAAAATCTCACCCCATTCAAATGAATGGAAAAACTACTACAGCATACTTTCAGCTATTTCAGCTATCAAAATGTTCAGGTCTTCAAGGAAATTCATGCTTCTCTTCATCCATCCATCCATCCATCCATTTTCTTCCGCTTATCCGGGGCCGGGTCGCGGGGTGCTTCTCTTCAGAAGTCTTCTAAACTTCATACTTTTAAAATATTTAGCTTTATTTTGAAAATCTTGCCCCATTAAAATAGAGAAATTTTTACTTCTGCATACTTTCAGCTATTTTAGGTATCATAATGTTCTGCTGTTCAAGGACATTCATGTTTATCTTCAGAATGTTTCTAATCTTCATATTTTTGAAATATTTAGCTTTATTCTGAAATCTTGTTCCAATCAAATGAATGGAAAAATTCTACTTCAGCATAATTTCAGTTATCAAAATGTTCAGCTCTTCAGGACATTCAAGCTTCTATTCAGAACTTTTACTAAACTTCATACTTTTGAAATATTTAGCTTTATTTTGAAAATCTTGCCCCATTCAAATGAATGGGAAAGATCTACTTCAGCATACTTTCAGCTATCAAAATTCTACTTCAGCATACTTTAAGCTATCAAAATGTTCAGATCTTCAAGGACATTCATGCTTCTATTCAGATTTTTTCTAAACTTCATACTTTTGAAATATTTAGCTTTATTTTGAAAATCTTGCCCTATCCAAATGTATGGGAAAATTCTACTTCAGCATACTTTCAGCTATCAAAATGTTCAGCTCTTCAAGGACATCCATTCTTCTATTCATAATTTTTCAAAGTTTCATACATTTTTAAAATATTCAACTTTATTCTGAAAATTTTACCAATTCAAATCAATGAGAAAATTCTACTATCAGCTAGCAAAACCATTCAGGTGTCAAAAAGTTCAGCATCTTCAGGGCGATATTCCAGCACTCAGCATCTATACGCATTTTTTCAGAAAATGCAATTCTCTAGTTGTTTTTCTTGTCCTATGTAAAGCACTTTAAATTTCCTCTGTGCATAAAATGTATTATATAAAAAAAGCTGCCTTGCCTGACACCAAGATAAAATGGAAACAAGATCACATAGGTTAGAGAGTATACCTGCAGGAGAAGGTGGTACTTCAAGACTCGCTGCATAGGAACCACCAGCAGATCCCTTAGCGTGAACTTGCCAGAGTTGGCTCTCTTTGAACATTCCTTTAACAAGACCAAAAAAAATCAACAGATGTGCATGTGGTATACAAAGGCATATCCAGAGGGGTGGATTTTGGGTTTAAAGCCCCCTTGAAATATTTTCCAATCTATATTGTATTGTGCCATTTTTAAGAAGGAAGAACAACAATGCACCATGTTATTAACATGGACATTAGTTCCTTGGATAAAAGGCTTCAGCCATTTTACTTCTAAGCCAGCATAAGTGGAGATCCTGACTGCACAGAGGTGACCCTCATCCCAGACAATGCAGATATCCTCATCTTTATATTTTTTATTATATGATTTTATATGAAACACTGGATATCTTGAATATTGTTTTTACCTAAGACCATGGGCAATGTCTTCTTTAAGTTCTTAATTCATTGACTCTGGATATCTTGAATATTGTTTTTACCTAAGACCATGGGCAACGTCCTCTTTAAGTTCTTAATTCATTGATTCAAAGTTCTATTTGTACCCCTCCCCTTTTAATACATTTTTTAAAATGTATTTATTTTGTTGATCCAAAAAATTAACGATCTAAAAACTCTGATATAATGTGAACTGTGAGTTTTATGAACTGTTCCACCCTGATTTCATCAACAGACCTTTTAAAGCAGTGTTTCCCACAGAATTGGATTCTACTTGTGACACAGTAACAGTGCCTCTATGCTTGCTGTTGTTATGCTTGCGAGGGGAAACTGTTCTGTAGTTATTCGATTGCAGATTGCATACTTCTCTGGGACATAAAAAATGATTATTATGATAATAGGTGGCCAAATATACTTGTGCGGCCTTTAAGATACCTGGGTGGGCCACCTAAGTCTATGTGTGGGAAACACGGGTATCTGTGCGTATAACAATGCAGTATTTGTTCAATTTGTCCCAAAATTGGTATAAATGTGTTATGACCCTTATGCTTTCAGGAGTTTGAAGGAGCAAGCTGTTAGAGCATAATAGAAAACTGTACAAAGATTTATGCCGTCACTTGTGCTGTCATAAGTGAATGGTTGTTGAGAAATGAACATTTGTCACATTAAAATAAATAACTAAATATGAAACTTCTACCTGTAGCTTCATGCATATGTCCTCTCTGTCTTTACAGATGGTATCCAGAGTGGCAATGGCTGTCTCTACATGGCTACAGTATTTTCCATAGATCAACAAACTGGAACAGATTAGGTGAAGACATTATAGTGAATAAACAAAGCTGGCACATACAGTACATGATTACAAAATTAGACATAGCAAAAAGATAAGTTCTGGATGTACAAATTAGCAGTACAGGTAAAACAATAGGTGAATCCCAATTCCCTTACTTTATCATTCCTCTGTCCTCAGTCCTAACTCGACACGGAAATCATTCCAGTCCTGATGGACATCCTAGAGCTTTTATTTCTGCTCTGAGGAGTGAGGGGACTACCTGAAGGAGCCACAACTGAGGATACACAAGTGCATCCTTCAAAGAAATCTGTTACAGACTATTACTTTTCTTTATTGGAAATCAGTTTATGATCGGAGGCATCCGATGAAGGACATCTCAGGTCAGTTAAAATGTGTTTCCTCAGTACCTTGTCCTTGCAGTTTTTTCTTGCATCTTTACCTTGCAGGACTAAGACACAAGAAAAAAATGCGAGTCAGGGAAGTGTGGATGCAATTATGGGAATTGTGATTCACCCAGCAACACGGTTTTCTAACCATGGTCATGCAGTACCAAACACCTACCATCCTTGGTGACTAATTGGTTGTTTTTAAGGTCTTATATGTGCATAATTAATTTTAAAAAAATTTAGAGGTTCATGGGTTTAGTGAAAGAGAAAACATAGATTAGAAGGACATGTTACAAAGTGTGTACTGCACCTCTCTTTGAAAGTGATGAAGATCTGGTAAAGGTTCTGGGCACTTCTGTGATGGATGGAGTCTTGAATTTCTAGCAGTAAACGCTTGTGAACTTTAACAAGATCCTGAAACATCAAACCAAAACACACCTAACTAGCATTATCAAGGTCGAATTGTCCCACAGGTGGGACAGTGTAACTTTAAAAGGTCAAAATAGCAATACATTAGTGAGGGGTATTAGAAAGCCTCGCTTAACTCAGACTTGTGAATCGTCACATTAGTTTCAGTTGTGGAATTTACTGTATTTTTGCAAAAAGCAAAACTTGCTTCAGTGTTCAACTGGGCTTCTGATTATTGTTCTAAGACAGACTTGGAAAAACTATGGCCATATACTTTAATCCAATACTCATTTAGTTTTTAAAATAGCAACATCATGGGGGCGACTGTGGTGCAGTGCATAGTGCAGTCGTCCCCCAACTGGAGGGTTGGAGGTTCGAATCACGGTGCCTGCAGTCTACACGTCGAAGTATCCTTGGGCCCCCAAAGTTGCCCCCAATGATTAGAACCATCGGTGTAAGTTAGCACCACAGATGGCTACCTCGGTTTTGTACCGGAAGCAAATTCCTTGTGTGTGTAACATACTTGGCCATAAAAAAAGGTGATTATTATTATTATTATTATACAAAATGGTCATCACAACCAACTCAGAGCAGTTCTATTAAATTACTTATTTTGTTTGACCAACAGTCCCAAACCTAAATATATAAATTTTATAATAAAAAAGATATAACTGAGAAAGTGGAACAGCAGATGTTTTTTATTTGAAAAATAGCTGAAATGATTATTTGATTGTCAGGTATTGATAATCATTTCATTGAAAACAATATTTTTTCGAAAGCTATATTGGTACAAAATTGTACTTTTTACAGGCAAACAGTATTTTTAACTTTTGTGGTCGTTGAAGTCTGATGTGAACTAAATTAATTTAGGTAAATCATTCCAATGAGTATTTATTAGTACAATAATTCTAAGCAGTTCAATAATTTGCAAGAATTTGTATTCTTATTTGCAAGAATAATCTGAAAGATTACTGAATTATTATTATTATTATTATTATTATTGAATTTGAAAGATTACTGAATTGCAGAATCTGTCTCTGCATAGAAATAAATAAAAGTATTAGATAAGAGAATAGTCAAAGAGTCAGTCAGTCATTGTTGGCCATATAGTAGAGTCAGTCCAGAGTTGGGTCGGCCTCCACCACCCGGCCGGGTCCGAACACACACTCACTCCACTACTGCAAAAACAGCATCCTCTTGCATCGCTCAGTCTAGCTCTTTTTTTTTCAAAGCTCCTTTTGGCTGTTAAATCAGTTTCTGAACTTAGCTTCCTGTCTTCACTTTTAAGAGGAAACACCCTGAGATGTACAGGAAACGGGAACCAGATGGGTCGCCTCCCTAAAGTTCTCATTTCTACTTCAAATTATGCAAGCAATGTTTCGCTCACCCCAAGGCTCTCTGGCATATTACATTTTAACTTGTAACTTGTTTGTTTTTAACCACTACACTTTAACCTGGACATCATATGAGCAATGATGTAAATATCGCTCTCTTCTGTTTTTTTTTTTTTTTTTACTAAAATCAACACAAATATTGTGCATATTTAAAGCTGTATGGACAGTTGTATTTGACTTTGTATACTAAAAATAGACAGTGACCTCAAGTTGAACTCAAGACTGTGACTTACTGGGATATTCACAAAAACCTTGTCCATCTCGGCCGTGGATAAAAACATGGTGAGGGGTGTCATAAAGTGCTGCAGAGGAGAGAGAGAGAGAGAGAGAGAGAGACTTAGAATGCAAGAAAATAAAGCTTGTTCCTCTGGAGTAACAGTGGGGAAGCCATTTTGCAAGAAGCTGTTACATTATAATGGCCAAGCAGCCAAGAGCTGCAGTCAGCAAAAACAAGAACTGTCTGGGTCACAACAATAATCTCATTTTCAGAGTTTGCAATTTAATCATTTCCTCCCAGAAAGCTCC